ATATTTGGGGCTGGGGGTAAAGGGGTTATCACACACGAGGCCCGGCTCCCCTTTGGGGGGGTGGACGTGTCAGACTCTCTACTGCCCTACCCAAGACTCACTAAAGGTACAGAAATCCCCCCTACGCAAGTTATTTCCCGGAGCATATATCCTGCACTACGTCCCGACCTTGAGACTCCCTGGTCCGACGAGCCTACGTTTACGGGGACACACTAAGTGGGGATGCCTTGTTCCTCTATATTTTATTTGGTTGAAGTCAAATACACCAGCGAGAGCCAAGAGGGCCGGTTGTGACACACCATGAAGGGGGGAAGATGCCAATTGAGTTATTGGGAGGGGAGCAGGGACAGGGAGAGGATAACCACTTGCTAACCATACAGGTAATACTGTTTTGCATAGTGCATGATTCCTTTGCCATCACAGGGCAGAAGCGACCTATAGCTTACAAACCTTCTGGGCCCACATAGTACTGGCTGTCCTGTGGCCCCTGTTCCCTAGGGGTGCGCTAACCATATCTTCCTTAATGGGACCCTTACACGCTATCAATGTGACTTATGTCTCCAACAGTCACAAAATGTATTTGATAGCTCAAAGCTGCATAACAGTTTTTCAGGCTTTGTGTTACCACTCTGCTGATCAGATCGCTATGATCAGTCTCCTCACGGAGAGGTGTTTAATGGAACACTGAATCTGCACACCACTACATGAAATCCGGGAAGCTCTAGCTGAAGCTGCCGCTCTTCTTACATCAACACATTACATCAAGATACTTGAAAAAGATTAAACACCGGTCCGTGAGGAGACTGATCATACCGATCGGAACTGCAGCGTGGTAACACAAAGCCTGAAAGTTCTTGTTATCTGATATATTTTTGTATTACTAATTATTTTTATCTTATTTTCGGGGATTGCCCATGTCAGCTACTTATTCATGTGACAAAATCTACTGAACATCTTTGTTTTCCTTTCTTTTATTGTTTTTGTGAACATTATCACTGTCATTTTCACTTTGATAATTATTTTCTATAAACTGTTAGGTAGAACATTTGCTGGTTTGTATCAATGATGTGCACTTATGTACTGTCACAGTTCTCACCATGGTCGCCCCAGAAGTGCCCAACAAGGGATTTTAACTCTGAAGTCTTTCTGCCTTAGTCCTGCTGTCTTGCCTCTGGGCCACACTTCAGTTCTTGTTTCTGCCTAATGGTTATTCTCGCCTTGTCTCCAGCACTGGGGTCTGGCCTTTACCCGTGGCTGCTCCTGTCTATCTAGCCCACCTGAAGCAGATCATTAATTAGCTGGATAAATAAGCACTGCCTCGCCCTGGGAACTTTGTCAGTTCATTGACTCTGGTTCACGTTTTTGGTTCCTGTTTCTGCGTATCCAGATCGTGTGTTCTCCAGTTTGTTCCCGGCTCTTATCACTAACACAAGCTTGCTCGTACTATTTCTGAAGCAGTACTGAAATTAGCAGCTGCCAGTATCTTTTGTTCACTTCTGTTCCAAATTATTGCTGGTTTTCGGCCGAATGTTTCCTCATTGTTACATGAAAAATAGATGCATTTATTAGTTCTATTATTTAGACAGAACATCATAACAAAGACTTATTTGTCACTACAAAGAATATGAAGCAAAAGCATATTTAATTCATTACATAAATGTGTACGTGGAATAACATCCTACAGCTTGATCTAATGAGGCAACCATGCTAAAGTATTTAATAAAGCTTATTGACCAGGAGCAATTCAATATGGTGCAAAGCTGGAAAAGTTTCATCTATATTACAAAAGGAATGCCAGCACAGGAACCCTGCAGTTACATGTGGCTCAGCTCTGCCAAATGGCCCTCCATATGGAAGACCTGGACAATAGGGGGCGCAGACAGAACATAAGGAACAGGGGGATACCAGGCCGCCCCGATCTGCACTACCCTCACAGAACTCTTTAACAAATTACTGGGATGCCTGAGTACTAACCCCATAGAATTTGTCAGTGCGCACAGGACACTGAGGCCAAGAGGCCCACCGGAAGCACCTCCGAGAGACACCATATGCTGTTTAGCCAGTTTTCTGTTAAAGGAAGACATACTACAGAAAGCCAAAGACACAGACCAAGTTCTGCTAAACAGCACGCAATTACAACTATACCTGGACTTATCCCCAGTGACACTGGCATACAGGGGGATTTTGAAGCCACAAACACGTGTCTAATCCAACAAAGTATGGTATCGCTGGAACTTTCCCTCGGGACACCAGGCAAGCACTCCCAAAGGCCCATTCACGGTGAAGGACCAGGAGGAAATGGCAGACCTGGTTAAGGAACTACAGCTTCCACCTATCCACATGGCCTGGCCGGACACAATGGCCATTTACACCTTTCACCTTGGAACTCAAACCGTGGCACCACAGCCTCACAGACTGCAGAGATCCCACGCAATGGGTCTAGAAGGGGGGGCGGGGACATGGACCGAAATGGACATGGACCTACGGAGGCTTCCTTACACACTGTCAGGTGTTATCATGCTTAAACTTTCAGGAACTTGACAATCACTGGCCACACACATTCCCTACCAAGTTTTAAATATCACCATGGCTGTTTTGTGGGGGTGGCTTGTGCCCTGACTGGGTCGCGCCATTGGGGCTCTCCCCAGCCTGCAAGGACCTCCATGGGAGTGGGGGGGGAAGGACGTTGGCAGGGCTCACTCAGGGGATGGTCTGGGGGGTGTACGGGGAACCAGGCACTAGATCATACGCAGGACCCGAGTGAAATCGGGGGTGGAGGGAGGAGGGGAGGGACAGGTGGGGCTGTAGTAGGGCGAACACGGGGAAGACAACAGCTTGGAGGGGGCAGTAATGCACGGTAATACCAGGCATTAGTTTTACACGTGGGGCATCTGTACAATAGTTACTGGGAACACGGGGCCCCACGAGACTGCATACAAGACCTACTTATAGGGATTGGAACACACGCATCACCATCTTTATGGGGCAGGGGGGAGGTGGGGACCCTGGTCGACCACGGGTTGGGTTACATTAAGTTACGTTTTGTTTTCGTTTTCAGTTATTTGTTTTTGGATACTGAGCTATACTGATACCACAGCTCGACGGTGCTGCACACATCCCATTTGGGCCTCCAGGCCATCTTAGAAATGGATGAGGATTGTTTACATACGCATGCATCATTATTAAAGCCATACAGGGGGGACGTGAGACTTTGACGAGGTCCGGTTTTGAGAGACGAGGGCAAGATCTGCGGTGCCTGAAGTAGTTGAGATCTCGGGTCTCTCGGACTAGATCGGTGCTGAGGCTCCCAGCTTCCTCCGGTTTCCCCATAGGATGGAGTGTCTGGAGATAGATGGACAGGACCCGACACTTGCTCCCAGTCGACACAACCATGTGACGAGGCTTCTTTATAACACATATTTTTGTTCTTCCACTTCTCACTTTTCCCCTCCACCCTCTATTTTTTCCTACCCTTTCCCGATGCCCCCCACCCAGACATCCCTGACTGACCCTCGCCAGACACTGACAGCCCAAACTGCTTTAGCGTCCAAAGAGCGCAGCGCACCACCAGGATAAAGATGACGCTTACACAGGGCCGGACTGGGAATTAAAAGCAGCCCTGGAAAAAAAATATTTACCAGCCCCATAATGCATCGCGCCAGCATAGTGTGCAGATACAGAGTTAGAACAGATAACTTAAAATTAAAAAGTACTTCAATGTAAAAAACGCACTCATAGGCTTCAAAATAAACAAAAGTGCAGATTTATTTTAAGCAGACGTGCCTTTCTATGTAATCAATGTTTCAGTCCAACTACCTTGACATATTAAGGAAAGCTTGTTAATGGGACTGAAATGGTGAATGTATGTAGGGCACAACTGAAATTTTTTTATTTTGAAGTCCTGTGGGTGTGCTCTTCACTTTAAATATGTTATTGTGCTGGAGTATGCACCTAGCAACAAGACTGGGCCAATATCTGCTCATTACATATGGTACATATTAATGAAATTTCTCTGTGTATTATGCATTTATAAATGTACATTAATATGTGTAAATATAATAATATATATATATATATATATATATATATATATATATATATATATATAAAAACTAATACACACATTAATATACATGTCATATACTAATGGCGGATCCAGAGCCTGAGCCTGAGCCTGAGAGGGGCACTTGTAGATTATTTAAAGAAATATTCCATGCACAATAACCACTACTCCTCTGTGTAGTGGTTATGGTGCCAGGAGCGTCGGCACCCCCTCCCAGAGTAAGTCGTCAAACCGTTTAAGAACAGTTTGACAACTTACCTGGAGTCTGCTGGGATATGGGGCTGTAGTAGGGTATAGGAGCAGTGGTGCAATGTGTGTGAAAGGTTCAGTGTGTGGGTGGGCAGTGTGTAAATGTGTATGGTGTGTGTGTGTGGGGGGGGGCAGTGTGTGAATGTGTATGGTGTGTGTGTGGGGCAGTGTGTGTATGGGGCTAGAGTTCACTCCTACTACTGGGACTACCAGGAAGTGGTGAGAGTGAACTCTAGCCCGTAGCTCCAGGGCTGCCCCAGGTCCTTTCTTCCTCCCCTGCCGACTGGCAGAGGGCACTTGCACTGCGGTAAAGATGGGGCTGGGCAGGAGGAGAGTGCAGTGCAATCAGTGCACTCCCCTCCTGTGGGTCACCAGTAGACTGGTGCACCTGCCCAGGATCAGAGCCGGTGCAAGGATTTTTGCCGCCCTAGACAAAATAAAAATTTGCTGCCCCCCCATGTGACATCACAATGCCCCACCCATATGAACTAACGCCAGTGCTGCACACAGTGTGTGTTTACATTAAAAAGCCTGCAGGGACCAGCTATAGACACCAGAACCACTTCATTAAGCTATAGTGTCCCTTTAATGTGAGGTACATTATAGATTAGTGTCACTAATAATATACTAGATTGCCTACTTACAAGCAGATGAGGATGATGATGGGCTGCAGTTTGGCTCCACTGGTCTGGTGTAGAACAGGATCTCTGGAGGCTGTTTGCAACTGTGGTCACAAAATTCAATGTTCTGGGAGAATTGGAAGCAGCTCCATTTTTTGGGGCCCCTTACACAGCTCTAGGTCTGGGCCCCGGGGCCTGACGGTGAGTATGCCCATAAGGCCCACTCATAAGTTCCACCCACCCATGAGTTCACTCACAGGGAGTGGAGTGTGTAGGGGATGTGTTATGTGTTATTGTAGAGGATCTAATATGTGTGCTTATGGTATGTAGTGTATAGGGTTACCAGTTTGTGCAGGTGATGTAGTGTGTTTGTGTGTAGTGGAAGCAGTGTGTATTTGTGTATAAGGGATGTATTATGTGTTTCTGGTTGTGTGTAAGGGATGCATTGTGTGAATCTGTGTTTGTATGCATAAGGGATGCAAGGTGTGTGTCTGTATGTGTGTGCATTGAGTGTATGAGATGCATTGTGTTTCTGTGTGTATGTAAGAAAAGTGTGTGTGTTTGCATGTGTGTGTACGGGTTTGCATTGTCTGTTTCTGTGTATGTGTGCAAAGGATGCATTGTCTTTGTGTGTAAGGGTTGCATTGTGTGTGTGTGTAATGGATGCATTGTGTGTTTCTCTGTGTGTAAGGGAAGCATGTTGTGTTTCTGTGTATGTAGGGATGCATTGTGTGTGTGTGTGCGCGCGTAGTGTGAAAGAGCTCCCTGTCTTGGCCCCTGTCCTATAGAGCTGCCCCTTCTGTCCCGTAGAGCTCTCCCCTGCACATTAGTGGTCTCTCCTCTCCCCCACCTCCCCTAGCGGTCTCTTCTCACACTCACCCACCCTCCCTGTGCTCTTCTCATCCCCCCCTCCACCCTCCTTGTGTTCTTCTCACTCCTCCCTCTATGTGTTCTCCTCACACCCCCTGTGTTCGTCTTACCCCCCTCCTCCCTGTGTTCTTCATACTTCCCCCCTTGGTCGTCTTACTCCCCCACCTGTTCTTCTTACTCCCCCTTCTTCTTCTTACTCCCCTTCTTCTTCTTCCTCTTACTCCCCCTTCTTCTTCTTACTCCCCCTCTTCTTCTTACCCCCTCTTCTTCTTCTTACTCCCCCCCTTCTTCTTACTCCTCCTTTTTCTTCTTACCCCCTCTTCTTCTTCTTACACTTCTTCTTACTCTACTCTTTTCTTTACTCACCTTTTAGCTAACTTCTTCTTCTTACCCCCCCTCTTTTCTTATCTCCCTCCTTCAACCTCCGCCCTCCCCCTTTTTCTTATTCCCTCTCCTCTTCTTACTCCCCCTCTTCTTCTTATCTTTTCTCACCTTCTTACCCCCTCTTTTCTTATCTCCCTCTTCTTATTCCCCTCCCTCTTCTTATTTCCCCCCCTCCCTCTTCTTATTCCCCCATCCCTCTTTTATTCCCTCCTCCCTCTTCTTCCTTCCCCCCTCTTTTTTTATTCCTCCTCCTCTTCTTATTCCCCCCCTCTTTTATTCCCCTCCTCCTCTTCTTTATTTCCCCCCCCTCTTTTTGTCCCCCCCCTCCTCTTCTTATTCCCCCCCTCTTTTTATTCCCCTCCTCCCCTCTTCTTATTCCCCCCTCTTTTGTTCCCCTCCTCTTCTTATTCCCCCTCTTTTACCCCCTCTCTTCTTGCCCTCCCTATGGCATGTGGCCGATTTTGCACTCGGTCGCGGTGGCTGGCCGGAGTGATAGAAGGGGGCACATAGTGTTTTCCCTGTCGATCCGACTTACGATTACAAACAGAAACTCAGCGGAACAGGTTTCCTGTTTCCTGCTCTTCCGCCGGACAGAGTGCGCTCAGTGTGCACCTTCCTATCACTCGGCGAGCGGCCGCGGGACGGTGCAACATCATGAAAAACTACAACCGCCTGACCATCATAACTGGCGCTCAAACGACAATGAGCGACCCGCCCGGCGGCCGACGCTTGAATTTAGGGCGGCCTGGGGGGCAATTGCCAACCTGCCCCCCCGCCCAGCCTGCCCCTGGCAGTGAGAGGAGCAGGGCCGCTGGACCGGGGAAGCTGCCACCCGGCCCGGCGGCCGGCCCCCAGGTGCCGCGGCCCACCGGGAAATTTCCCGGTATCCCGGTGGGCCAGTCCGGCCCTGCGCTTACACCAAGCAATCTCACAATCCTTTCTATAAATGCCATAATAAGCCTGAGAAAAGGTCGGAAGCCCTAAGAGATTTCCATGCAAAAAGGGCCTCCATAGTTATGATTCAGGAGACTCACTTCCAGGAGGGTGACAGACCAAAACTGACCAACCACCACTTCCATGGGGGAAAATCCAGGGGCACGTCGATACTGATTAGCAAGAGGGTACCATTCCAGGAAAAGGAGTGAGAATACAAAAACAAAAGAAACAGCTCTAAAATAAACTGAATAAAATAAAAGGAATAAAATAGTAAAACATCCACAACGCGTTTCTTGTCTGTGTTTTTTGTCTCCACTTGAGAAAGCCCCCATAGGTGAAACGCGTTGTGGATATTTTACTATTTTATTCTGTATTCAAATAAAGGTGTTTTTTGGCTACTTTTAACACACTTTGATTATGCCATTTTAATATATATATATATATATATATATATATTTATATATATATATATGTAAAAAAGAAGCTCTTGCACTCCAACAGAAAAGATATTTGATACCTGGTGCTCTGGTAGCTTGAGAATATAGATTAAAAAAATACCAGCACTCCAATGCTTTCCAAGAAAGTATTCTTTATTCCAGAGGATAATATCAACATTTCAGCTCCATCACGGAGCTTTCATCAGGACACATGTGTAATGGAGCTGAAACGTTGATCTTATCCTCTGGCATAAAGAATACTTTCTTGGAAAGCCTAGGAGTGTCGGTATTTTCTCTCTCTCTCTCTCTCTCTCTCTCTCTCTCTCTCTCTATATATATATATATATATATATATTTATATATATATATATATATATATATATATATATATATATATATTTTAGACATGTACAATTCGTTTCGGTCCGAATTAAAATTCGGCCGAATTTCAGGTAATTTGGACATTCGGGTGCTTCCGAATGTCCGAATAGCTGAATTGCCAAAGTCCCGAAGTGCCGAAATTACCAAATTTCCGAAGTGTAGTAGTGCCGATGTGCCGAAGTGCTGAAGTGCCGAAGTTCCGAAGTTGCCGAAGTTCCGAGGTGTCAAAGTACTGAAGTTCCGAAGCACAGTATTGCCTAAGTACTAATATACTTACCCAGTGAAAGAAGAAGAATGTTACACTGTATACAATTTCAAATAAAAAGTATACAAACATAGCCAGGATTCAGCTGTAAGCATTTGCAACACTTACAACAATCAAGTAACATACATTCATATAAAATGTAAGTTACTTAGCCAGTCATGTAATGACAGGATTGAATAAGTAGTTAACTCCCTAATTCCCATGGTATTAGGGAGCTATCTACTAAAAGGCTGATAGACCTAAATTGGTCTTTCAGCCAAATTTACTAATACTAAGTAAAGATTACTTAGTATTAGTAAATTATGCCCCTACTCGCTATACCGTGAATAGGGGCATGTCTATTAAACAGTGAGCATTAGGTCCCCTCCCCTGAACTGGGGGCCCTAAATACAAATTGGGGGGGACCTAATGTCCTCCCACTGGCCCCCACCCCTGCACCATTATTTTGTCCTCTCTCCACATACGGATCCAAAGAAGCCGTCTCCATTTGGTCCACACAGAGAATATTTCCCCATACAGGCTGATGGTTGTCCATCTGGCATAATTAAGGACTTTGTTTTGGTATCCCTCTTTTTTAAGGTTTTTCTTAGGATTTACCATCATATTTTGGACTTTGTTTACCATTATCTGTACTATTGTCTGTTTTGGCGCAACCTTTCTTTGTCTTGTCTTTTGTACTATCTGGGAAAATGAGTGTATGGTGGACCAGGAGGTTAGATACCTGTTTTTAAAGGGCACAATCGTGGAACAAACCTACACATTTGCATCCATATATGCACCAAACGGTAGACAGTATCGTTTCTTCAAACGCACCACACGTAAAGTCCTTCGCCGAAGGGGTTCTCATCATAGGGGGATACTTTAATGCAGCACTCGACCCTAACTGAGACTGCTCCACAGGCACGTCTCACATCCCCACCCAACAACTCAACTTAATCAAATCCCTATTTACCAAGCACAGACTTATTGACTGCTGGAGAGCACACCATCCCAACAAAAGGGACTACACATTTTACTCATATCCACACCACTCCTACACCCAACTGGACTACTTCCTCATGATGCAATACCACCTCCCCTTGTTGCAGTATGCCGAACTCGGGGTGGTGACGTGGTTGGATCACGCCACTGTCATAGTCACTCTTAAATCCCCTCTCTTCAGACCCATGATCTCCAAAAGGAGGCTGAACGAGTACCTGCTGTCCCGCCTGGACCTGACTGACCACATTGGGAAGGTTCTCACTGACTACTTTCAGACAAATGCACCTGATGAGACCTCCCCGAAGATTTGTCGGGAAGCGCATAAGAGTGTGATAAGGGGACACTTCATACAAAAGGGAGCCAAACTTAAAAAGCAAACGGCAGCCCAACTTAACAAGATCAATGACATTCACAAACACAAAGTGCTAAACAAGCGCTTACAACACCCATTCCACCAGGCAGTGTTGCTACAACACCGACGAGACCTGACCTCACTGATTTACTCCAAATACCATAGGGACGTAGTTAACATAAAGCATTCTTTTCCCTCCACAGGAATAAGAGTGGTAAGCTGCTAGCCAGAATGCAAGCAAAACAACGGTAGATGACCTACCTAGACAGGATATGAGATAAGCAAGACACCCTACACCGCCTACCTGCTAAAATCCTGGAGGCAGTGCACGCTTATTATTCAGAGCTATATTCACTTGCGCAGCCCAGAACCGACGCAGAAAAAGCCCGTCTACAGGGAATGTTCTCTAAATATAATTTTGACAAGAAATCCCTTGCCGCTGAATATAGCAAAAACTTTTTTCTTTTTTTGGCAAATACGCAACAATTATTATCTGATACGGGAAATGTAGATGATTAACCACTGCCTTGAAAACTCTCTATAAGAAATGCGTAAACCCCCAAATTTAACAATATTCTAAATATGCTCTTAAGCAATATTCAGCATGTATATATATTCAATTTGAAGAGAAATTATACACATCATTTCCATTTAAGGAACCAGTCACTAAAAGCATATTAAAGAAAAAGTAATTTAACAGTTT